CGCACATCGCTCGCACACCCTCCAACTCGAGTGCAAAGCAACAAGTGCCACTTGACTCGGCTTGGCTTCGTTGTTCACTCACCTCCCCCAGCCACCGCCTCACCCCTCCCCAAGCCTTTCTTTTATTTTCTCTTTTTGTTGTTATTGTTTCTTTCTTGTTGGCCGCCTCGGAATGGTTTTGACCCCACATTTCAATTACGCTGCTCGCCAAGTTGCATAACGCCGCTCCCGGGTCACTGGGAAGGCCATTGCAGGTGGCCCGCGGTGGTGGCTGGCTTAGAGTTACCAATTTCAAGTAGATGGGTGTTATAAGTAAAGGCTTTTTCCTTAAGTTTTGTATATGCCCATAAAATTGAGAAAATAATTAAGATTTCTTACGACTTCTTCAGACCTATAGAGAACATATAAATAACAAATTGTTAAGAGTCCTTATAAAGAACCTTTCGACGCGCTTCCGCAAAGTATCGTATCTTACTTCTAATCGTAATTGAGACTTTAATGCCAAGTTTTTGCTGATTTTCGTAACAAAATATATTTGTATTCTTATTGAAATACAAATGATACAATATATATACATAAATATATTGAAAATAAATTAAATTCTGAGAGAAAGGATTCTGAGTTGTAATAACCTATCGAGTTCAAATGGAGCAGAATCAGAAGTAACTGAAGCATACTTTTCGGGAGCCAGCTGCCATCCTTGGGAGGTGGGTGGTACGTGTCGGTGCAGCGACTCAGGACGGCTTGTTGGCCAGAGCCCCCAATAAGTTGGCCAACTCTGAAAGTAGTTTGGCTTGGTTGGAGTTCTGCTTTCTATCTCTGCTTCCTGATCCTCGCCCCCCCTGCCCGCATCCCAGTAGCATCTCCCTCTCACCTTTCCAATTCAATTAGACGGGCCAGAAATTAATAAATAACCAAGAAGGCGCAACACCCACACAGCACTGCGGACGGCCAGAGAGGGAGAAGTGGTGGAGAAGTTCTGGAACTGGTCTTCCCGACACTTGATATAAATATGCATGATATGCATGCATAAATTACGTATACGACATGTTGTTCTGCGCGCCCCCCTCCACTTTCTTTGGCCTGACCTGCATTTCCTTGGCGATTCTCGGCGCGGCTTGGGACGAAAACCAGCCGGCGACCAGTTCGGGAACTTGCGAGCCAAAAAGCCCTGGCACATTTGTCGAGGCGAGGCGAAACACCACCAAAATGCTCCGCGCATTTGAATAGTGCCCCTCGGGGGCAGAAGGCCACGAATTAAGGCGGCAATAAATAACAAATAACAAATCAAAAAGAAATGACCACGAAAAGAATCAAACACGCCCGAGCCAAGAACCAAGAAGCCAAGAATTGGGTCAGTAACACGCCAAAAAACGAGTCGAACTCGGTCGTGGAGGAGGAGGGAGGGGCGGGAGCAGCAGCAGGCGCAAAGACAGAGAAGCGAAAACACACATAGGCACAAAAGCACGCAAAAACAAAGTCAATTGAGCGGGTCGGAGCTTCAAAGACAAAAGGAAACCGTCGCAATGACGCGGCAATCAAAAAACAATTTTTGAGTTTGGAACTTTTTTGTCAAATGCTTTAGGAAGTCAAATGAAAGCGCAGAAGCAGACCAAAATGCGGAATTTAATTAAAAGCAAAACATCAAATAAATTGCGCGAATTCGGTGACCCAATTCTTCTAAATCATTTTGTTTTCTATTCATCTATTTATATTGAGATTATGAATTCAGAAAAAAAAACACACAAAACAAGCAACAAAGTCAAAAACAAACAAAAGCAGCCAGTCAACGAACTCTGCAGGCCCTTAAGATATCGCTACGGTACGATATGGGCGAGTGGATGGGTTCGAAACACCATACGATCATCTGTTTTATTTGGCAACTTGTTTAATATCGGTCAATGTATTCACAAACACAATGGCCAGCATAAAAGTAGCAGAAAACGAATCAAAATCAAAAACAAAACAAAATTATAATACAAAAACGAGATAAGAATTTCAACATTTTTTGTGTTATTTTTTTTCATTTTTGATTGCGTGTCATACACACACACACATTAGGTCTCAGTATGCAATGCCAAACTTTCACGTAATTTCTGCGTTGTTTTGCTTCCCCCTCCCCCCCTTCTACTCACCCAGCAACACCCCCTCCTTCTCCACCGCCTGCGTGTGTGTGAATTATATTATTTCGGCGTCTGTTTTGCTTGTTGTGTGTAAAAGTCAATAACCTTTTCGCGTATTCAAGAAGCCAGTTCCAGTTCCTCGAGGAGAGTCCCAAGAAAGCGACCCGGCGCAGCCAGGCCACCACCACTAAGCCCCACCACCGAACCAGCCAAATTCAGATTTAGTTTTTTTCAGCTTGGCTCGAATGCCTTTCTTGCTGTTGTCGTTGCTGTTGTATCGGATGATGGCCTTAATCAAGAGCCGCAAAAAGAAAAATGGCATCATGCATGGCATCAGTGGGTTAGGCGAATTGTTAGCTGGTTACTTGGTCAGTAAGCTACGTGGGTTTCTTGGCCCAGAGAAGAAGGGGTCACAGTGGGTCACTTACGTAAAGTACCAAGCTCGGGGGAAGCTCTGACGCCTAATGGCCTGGGAGACAAACACACTCACTAATTAATTCAATCTGCAGGAAACTTTTCAAGTAATTACTCAAAGTATAATCCGGGGAGGGTTAAGTCCTAAAATAGAGCAAAGTTTACAAGTTTGTTGTATCAGTACTTGCCTTTTAATCCTTGGGGATATGGGTGTAGTAAACCAAACTCAAAGAGTAAAGTCTTAAATGTTTGCCTACGTGATCTTTGGCACACAACCAGTCCCCCGGCTTGGCTCAAAAGTAGTTTACGAATTGAAAGAATGCCAAGTAGTGGCTGAAAGCGGGGGGCAACGAAACCAAAATACTTTTCCCAAGACACTTTTTGAGCTGCCAACAATTTCTCCCCCACAAAGCCTCAGTCTGAACCCGCAGAGTTCGTGCGAAGTGACCCCGTCGAGTGATGTCACGTGTCTCGCCAGCTGAGCCCCAGAATTCGTTGCTGTTTGCAGAATTTAATTGGGAACCGTGTCATGCGAAAAGCAAGTCCAGAATTGGGTCAGTGTTTCGACAGTGATTCTCGAGCCCCAGTGTCTTCGGTTCTCCTCCTGAAAAGGGGAAAGAACACTCCTTGCTGGCTTCTTCTGGCCAAGATGGGTGCACATTTTGGTTTGGAAAGTTAGTTGGACGTCGAAATGCGATGTTTTCGATCCGCGACTACGTCAATCGAGCATTCACGAGCGAAAGTATCCGACTTTGGAGTAACTAGAAATAAAAAGCCAAAAGCCCCGAAAAGACTTTGTAATAAAATCAAATTGATTTCTCCCTGGTATTATAAATTTTGGTTAAAGGTTTTTTAAGATGTATAATCCTTCAGTAGAAATCCCTCCTGAAATCTTTTACTACAAAAGCTGTTGCAGAATATTCCTCGCCTTGGCTATCAGACCCGGACATTGGCTATTGTAATAAACCGGGAACGGGGACTACTGATCGGCAGGCAGAAAAATAAAAAAAAAAACATGTAAAAATAAATTTTATTCATCAGATACTTTGCATGCAGACTGTGCGTGAGTGTGTGCGTGAGCGAGTATCTGTGTGCGCTGCTTTGTTCGGCGTTGTCTGCTCTCCGCTGACGTTACCGCTGCCGCCGCCTCTGCTGCCGACTGCATTGACCCCCACTTGGTGCCCCCGTCTCTGCTCTTCTCGCTCCGAACCCCCGCCACCCGCCCCCCACCCCTTGTCCAACGTTCTTGTCGCACTCACGCACACTGCGGTTCAATGCACTCGACTCGGACTCTCTATTTACTTTCGGCGCCTACCGGAGTCGATCAAAAGAAATTTACATTTCTGTATAATTTGTAAATTAAATTGCTTGGCTTTGGAATAACTTGAGGCTGGCTGACTAGTGTCTGCCGCGGCGCTGGTCCAGAATTCGGTGCTAGATGCTATAACCATAACGGCGTTATCTGTGGTCCATCTTCTAGGGTCCAAGGCCCACTTCCCCCTGCTCTAGGGGGGAATATTTAAATAATTTTGATAGGTACACAAGCAGTCACCGGAGAAAAGAATCGCCGAGGGAATCTGAATCCAAGAGGCTATTGACTCCCGACTCCCTCTGCCCGCAGCCGGCGTCACAGCTCGCGTCTCTGCCAGAGTATGCGTTGTTTGTTTGTATTAGTGTCGGAGTAGTAGGAGTAAAGTCGAAACATTGACCGAGACTCCCGAGAGGAAAGTCTATAGGGTTTTCGACTGGCGTGTACCCGGTATCTACATCTAAGTTATAAATCATTTTAGGCCTGTAGAATACAGTCAACTGATTAACTATCGTTTAATCCATTTTATATATTAATAGATTTTTAAAATCCATGTAATTCTATTAACGTTTAGACTTTAATAATAGCATACAAATTATAAAATCTATTATAGAATCTATATTTAAGTTGTTTTAGTTTATTATTAGTCTGAATAGATCTATAAAAAACTGTGTATCCCTTGGATTTAAGAACTAATTGGTATCATCTGTGAAAGCCCACAGTTCTCAGTTCCCTTCGAAAATCCCGCTCTCTTTTCGATGTAAACACACACACACAAATTCCTCTGTGTGCAAAGAGTGATAATGCGACCGCCGCACTCTGAATGCTTGTGATAGCGGCGATAACAGTAGCAGGGCTCCCTTCTCTTGGAGAAATGTGAGCGCGGCGATTTAAGAGAGTCGTGAAAAGTTTGTCGCACTGATGTTACCTTTCCCCGCTCTTCGAAGTGCATTGACTTTTATTTTTGTTTTGTTTTGCTTTTAAATCAACAAAGACTTGTGCGATACACGACATTAACTAGAATATTGAACTACTGGATTTTAAGCGAGAACTGCATATTGTCTAGCAGCTTAAGAAATATTTATACAGACGCTTCCTATAATAATGTAGTTGTTATAAAGATACTTACTTGTACTCTTTTAATTTATTTTTAGTGGGTGCCCCGCATCTTTATCCTACCACTACGAAAAGGCGTCGCCAATGCAGAATCATCACAATCCTCAACAACAGCATCACAACAACATCAACATGAGCAACCATCACCACCCCCAGAATCAGTTGCAACAACAACAAGCGCATCATCATCAGCAGCAGCACTCGCTGCAACTGTCTTTTCAGAACCTGACTGTTTCGCACAACGAGCGTCAAATTCTATCCGATGTGAGTGGATTCGTCAGGTAACAAGATCAGCCAGTACATAATTAATTAATCAAAATATATTAAACTCCATGAAGACTTGGTTGAAGACAATGGGATACTTCGTTAGCTCCATTTCAAGATGTACCAACAATTTTCGATGTATAGTTTTTATCTGAAAAAAAAGACTCAGCTATATCGAAATATTTTCAGGGGCGGTATAGCCTTTTTTTTATTCCCTACTAAAATGTTTCAGTCCTTGTTTCAAAACGCACAAAAGTATGCAACAATTTATAGCTTGTTTTTCTTAAGATAAGCTGTATAAAAAGTTATTTAGGAAGGGGGGAAAAAAGTACCGGGTATCATATACCGACATATACAGACATGGAAACTAGCCCTTCATAGAATAAAATATAAAAAAATATATATTAATAAATTAAATGAAAAAAATCAAAGAAATAAAGCCCTAACTAAAGCTCTTTTAAATTTATGCGTTGCAGCCCCTGCGAGGTTCTGGCCGTCATGGGACCCTCGGGAAGTGGCAAGACCACACTGCTCGACTGTCTGAGTGGTCAGCGGCATATTGACAGTGGAAGTGTCTTTCTGAACCGCGAGCCCCTTTCCAAGAAGTGGCGCCGCCGGATCGGCTATGTCCTGCAAGAGGAAATATTCTTCCCGCAACTGACGCTTCGGGAAACAGTGGTTTACACGGCACTGTTGCGCCTCCCGGAGTCTATGCCGCGGGCGGAGAAGATGCGGCAGGTGGACCACATCTTGGAGGCTCTGGAACTGAACTGCTGTCAGCAGACCAAGTTCGGAGACTACCTCAACCGAGGACTCTCCGGTGGAGAGAAGAAGCGGGCCAATATAGCTTGCGAGCTGCTCACCAACCCGCTTCTCATGCTTTTGGATGTGAGTTTTCCTTATTTCCCGTTAGGTAAATCCTCTTAAATTTTTGGTCCTTTCAGGAACCCACTTCTGGCTTGGATAGCCACTCGGCCATCTCGCTGATGAAGGTGCTGAAGCGCTACGCCCAGCTAGAGCAGAAAACCATTGTGATCAGTGTCCACCAGCCATCGTCACAGATGTTCCACATGTTCGACAAGCTGCTCCTCTTGCACCAAGGGCGCACAGCCTACTTCGGGGATGTGCACAACATCTACCGGCACTTTGAAGACATCGGGGTCACCATCAAGCCGCACTACAACCCTGCCGACTTTGTGTGTAAGTGAAAAGACAATTTTTTCATCTTATGGTAGCCTACGTGTGGCTTCAATTTATGATACAATCGATTAAGTACATTTATGAATGGAAGGGGCCTTTAACTATGAACCGTTTGTTAAGTTACTGGTTTCTTTCCCAATTTTGGCGCTCCTCCCGCTCCTTGATGACCTCGTTCAGATAGGGCTCCAAGTACTTGACGTCCTCCTCGTACTTGGTCCACTGCTCCTTGGGCAGGATGGTCTTGGTCATCGAGAGATGGAGTGCGCGCATGATGCGGTAGTTGCGCTCGTCGTAAACCTTGCGAGGCAGCCGGCGGATGGCTTCTTGAACATCCTCGTTCTCGTACAGGCAGTCGTCGCGATGAAGGCCGTATTGGTTAAACCCGGACATATTGTAGGCCCACCTGCCAAGTTTTGAGAAAACAGCAGGGCCCTTTCTGGGAAGATACTTCGACATGATGATTGCTGGGAATTTGTATAATCAGGTGGTCCGTTCAGTCTCCGATTTGGTTCAGAATGATTTTGTTAAGGTGACAGAAGCTTGTAAAAAAGTTCCATGGCATGCTTGATGTTAGGCTTGGGGTTATGCAGTATTTTCTAAATAAAAATACCATGTTAAAAATACTATTGGGATGAGAAAGGGTCACATCTATATTTGCAATGGGCAATAACCCACTTAATCATTTTTTGCAGTGGAGCAGCTTAAATCCCATCCAGATATCCGGGAGAAGCTCTTCATTGCCGCTAAGGAGTCGCACGGAAACTATCTGAACCGCAACTGCATCAGCCACAAGTCCCACCAGGAGGGCACCGGGTCAGAGGCGAAGGTCAAGAAAGAGTCGGACACCATCCTGATCGACGACATCATCAACAACTATTACAACCAGCACCACCACAAGCCCACTCGCCACCACAACCTGCACCATCACCACCACCACCACCAGTACGAGAACCTGAACCACTCGGTGGGGGGAGGCTGCCAGGTGGAGGAGGACGAGGAGGCGGCTCAGCACCTAGTCTGGTGTGCGGCGGACTCGCAGTCCAACTTCAGCTCCTGCGCCTCCAGCGACTGCCATTCCTACAGCGCGGGCAGTGGATCCGGATCAGGCCATGCCGCGGATGATGACTGGCTCTCGTACCCCACCAGCTTCAACACCCAGTTCTGTGTCCTGTCCAGCCGCAACTTCAAGGAGGCCAAGCCGCGAATGCTCTCCAAGCTTAACTGGTTCCAGACGATCGGCCTGGGCCTGATGGCCGGCGCCATTTGGTTTCAGCTGCCCCGCACAGAAGAGTTCCTGCATGACCTGCAGGGCTGGATGTTTTTCTCGCAGACCTACTGGATGCTATTCGCCCTATTCGGAGCTCTCAATTCATGTATGTTTTGGAGATAACTCACATCTGGAAGAATCTGTATTAATTGTCCTTTTTAACAGTCCCCGCGGAGCGCGAGGTGATCAGCAAGGAGCGTCGTTCCGGAGCTTATCGACTTTCCGCCTACTACCTGGCCAAGATGTGCGCCGAGCTGCCTCTGGTGATTACCTTGCCCACGGTGTACCTCATGATAAGTTATCCCATGCTGGGGTGCACTAGGTAAGTATTCATCGCTCCAAAACTGGCGACTTAATGACTGAAATTAAAATGTTCCAGCATGAAGCTGTTTTTCCTGATGCTCATATTCTTGCTGATCAACACGATCGTGGCCCAAAGTGTCGGCTTCTTCATTGGAGCCTGCTGCATGGACATGAACGTGAGCATCACCCTGAGTGCCCTGTACACCCTGGCTACGCAGCTCTTCGGGGGCTACCTGTCGTCCCGCATTCCGGAGGGCCTCAGCTGGATTCGCTATACCTCGATGATTCACTACGCCTACCAGAATATGCAGATACTCGAGTTCCGAGAGGGCCCAGCCATACGGTAGGCAAACCTTTTACATTTTATTGTCTTACATTTCATCATTCAATGCTTAATCTTGCAGGTGCGGCTCACCCAGCAGCTATGAGATTTGTAAACAACAGTCAACCGAATTCATTCCATACGAGGAAATACTCAAAGCCCAAAACTCCACATCACCTCTCTGGCTGAATACACTGATACTGATGATGTTCTTTCTGGTGTTCCGCTGTCTAGGATACGCGGTGCTGCGCTATCTGCGATGCCCCAAAAAGACGTGATATCCCGGGATATACAAGTACTTGAAATGTACATATATCCAACTGAGCAGACATCGAACCAGTGATACGTTATTTGTTAATGCTAAAATATATTGCTACTCCGTTGCAACAGATCAAACAGCTAACTTTGCGCCAATTTTGTGATTCAACTTACTTTCAAGCCACATCATCTATATTACCTAATATTATTACTATTATAATTACTACCAACTACATCTATTATTATTATTATTATTGTAGCTAGAAGTGTTAATCAAGGTTTGCGGTAGGGCAGTGCGCGAAATTGTTTGTGTTGCATTCGTAAGCGTAAATTTTGTTTTGTTTTATGCCTTTTAATTGTTAGCCGTTTATACATACCATTGTTGGCTATTTTGCCGCTGAAACATAAGAGCAAGCGAGACAGGTAGAGAGGGAAAGAGAGAGAGAGCAGGAGGAAAGAAAACTTTTTGTTTTAATTTATGTTTTAATGCCCCGCCAGGAAAAATATTAAAGCTGTCCGCCCTGAACCCCGTGTCCAACACCCTTCGTAAGCAAGTAACTCCTATAATATTGTATGTCTGTAGTGAAGAGGTAGTAACTTTCTAGAATATTGCAAATTTTTTTCGCTTGGAAAAAACACTGTGATTTAGTATGCTAGTTTTTTAATTAGTTTTAAGTGGACTGCATTAGTGAATTGTGCATGTCGGGAGCAGTCTAAAGGATATTTGTAAAGGAAATGAAGCTTTGAAGAGCTCCACAAACATGTTAAATATTATGGAATAAATTGTATTTGTTTATATTATCAATTGTATTTAATTAAACTTATTTAAATATACATGTAAATGTAATATAAAAATATGAGTTTCTTTTTTTCCCTCCAACAAAAAAGCGTATAATTCACTTGAGTTTTCAGCTCTAATCGTCTAACATGGATTTCCCCTTGGTCTCCTTGAGGAAAACTGAAAAGTAGGCAAAGCTGAACGCGCTTACGCCGGCACAGGACCACATTGTGGCCGAGATGCCCCACTGCTTCATGCAAATGGGAAGGATGTTCAGCATTACGAAGACGAAGCAGCTGCAGATCACAATGGCCATGGAAGCGGCCTTGGCGCGAATCTGCAAATAATCAAAGTTAGTTGGAAGCTGATTGCTGGGGAATGATGACCCTACCTTAACGGGGAATATTTCGACCAGGCTGACGAAGAAGCAGCCGACTAGTCCGATATTTCCCAGGAAGATATCCATCGACATCAAGAGCAGGGGCACCCAACTGTACTCGGTAACGTCGTGATCCTTGGCATACTGGGTGAAGAATCCAAAGCCGGTCAGGCTAACGGCCACCCCCGCCGTGGACACCAGCATGAGGAGCTTCCGGCCGCAGATGTCGCAGAGCAGGGTGGTGACGTAGGTGCCCAGAATCTGAACTGCACCAATGATGATGGTGCAGGTGTTGGGGTCCATCGTACTGTGCGACTGGGCGAAAATGTCCGACATGTAGTTGACCATGGAGAACAGCCCACTGAACTGATTGGCGATGAGTAGTACCAGTGCGGGGCCATAGGCTTTCAAAGCCGGTCGGGTGCCTACAAAGAAGAAACGAAATTCAGTTGTTTTGACAATTTAACATTATATTTATTTAATACTTACAAAAGTCCTTTATTGTAATAGAGTCCTTCAGCTGGTCGCCTTTGGTCAGCACAACCTTCATGTTATCGAATTCCTCCATGGCCCGATGTTGGTCGTTGATGTTGTCAGTGTCCTTGATGTTCTTGTAGTAGCGGAAGGACCTCTCGGCCTCTGTGTATTTTCCGGTTCGTATCAGATGCATGGGTGACTCCTTGATAAAAAGCAACACCGAAACAAAGTAGGCGACGGGCAGGACCAGCACTATCCAGGGGATGGTGAAGTACGACAGGTGGGTGCCCATTATGTAGCCCAATAGAATGCCGACATTGACCGATAACATGACCATGGCCGAGAAGGTGCCACGGATGCTATAAAATGGATTAAGTCGATTAGGGTAGCAGGTTACTGGAATGAGCTCTTAGAAATTGTGAAATAAGCAGCGGTGACGATTCTCCGAAATCACCGCAACTAATTGTATTTTGATTGTCGCCAGCTGCCGGGTTTAGTGACGTCGCAGTTTGCGGCTATCTTAGAGTCGGCGGTGCTTACACATCATAAATCTTTGGCACTTACTTGGCATCTGCGATTTCACTGAGGAAAATCGGATGAACAATGTACATGCCGCCGCCACAGATTCCGGCCAAGAGCCTTCCCGCGTACAGGTATTCCACGCTCTGGGCGAAGTAGACCAGGATCCATAGGCACTTAAACCGAGAAGAAAGCACAATTGGATTATTAGTTACACCCTGGTGAACTCATTGTTCCCATGTCGTTTATTGAATTACCGAGTGCGGGATGGCAATGAATAGCAAACACCTTTTGCTGCCAAGACGGCTCAGCAGAGCCCCCACCAGGATGTTGCCAGTCACCGACCCCATTCCCAGCATAGAGCCCACCCAGGAGATCTCAAATTCCGAGGTTATCTGGAATCCCACGGAAGAGTCTAGCTGCAGCTTCCGCAAGGTGGGTGACAGCCATCCGATTCCAATTCCATGCGAAATTGATATCACATTGACTGTGGGTTTAAATCAAGAAAAAAAATATAATAACAATATTTGTTCAAGAATATTGTATTCCTATCTTTTTGTTTTTTATAAAGTTGTACACTTGAACAGATATATTTTCTACACCTGGCCTAAAAAAGTGTATGAAAACAAATATTGATAGGTTTTAAAAATAAATAAAATAATTTGAGGATTTTACCTATCACTATCACGTCTAAAATTTTGAATTTTATTCTCAAACAAGAAAGAAAAGCTAACTTCGGGCGGAGCCGAAGTTGATATACCCTTGCAGTTAAAACCGGATACATATTGCAAACATCGGATATAGTTGGCCGATCCTTATGAGAATATCTTAATAAAACCAAATAATTACAATAAAATATCTAAAAACAAGAAAGGAAAGCTAACTTCGGGCGGAGCCGAAGTTTATATACCCTTGCAGTTAAAACCGGATATATATCGCAAACATCGGATATAGTTGGCCGATCCTTATGAAATTTGGTAGGTTGGATGAACTGACCAAAAATAGAATCTGTACCAAGTTCCAGCTTTCTATCTTCAAAAACACAAAAGTTGGGTCAATTCCGATCGTTCAGTTATATGGCAGCTATAGGATATAGTCGGCCGATCCTTATAAAATTTGGCATGTTCTATTATTTTGCCAAAAGTAGCTCTTGGCATGTCCTATTATTTTGCCAAAAGTAGCTAGTAGCTAGATCACCGAAGTTATACCATTTCCGACCAATCAGTTATAAGGCAGCTATAGGATATAGTCGGCCGATCCCGGCCGTTCCGACTTACATACTGCGTGCAAAGTTTCAAAGTCGATAGCTTTAAAACTGAGAGACTAGTTCGCGTAGAAACAGACAGACAGATGGACAGACGGACATGCTCATATCAACTCAGGAGGTGATCCTGATCAAGAATATATATATATTTTATAGGGTCGGAGATGTCTCCTTCACTGCGTTTCACACTTTTGGACAAAATCTTAATACCCTCTACAAGGGTTTAAAAAGTATCGATTTTACATGGACAGATGGATAAATCCTGATCCAGAAAATATAAATTTAAATTGTCGGGATCATGATACAATTATAATAATTAATAATTATAATAATTATCATGATACAATTATAATAATTAATAATTATAATAATTATCATGATACAATTATAATAATTGCATTATCATTACAATTATAATAATTGTATAATTGTATCATGGTCGGGATACTGCGTCGAACACTATTGACAAAAATTATAACACAGGTGTATAAAAATTAATCCAAAATTGCATTACTAAAGTTACTTGTAAATTATTTCATTATTATTTTAATTATTATCGCTTTATTATTATTTTTAAGTTGTTTAAACATTGTACCCAAGGAAAAATAGCTGTAAAATAATATAAGATCTTTTAATTTCCTACATGATTCTAAACCCACTTTTCTTTCCGTCTTTCCAATGGTAAACTTTATTTTAAATCTTGAAGATTAAAAATGTCTAAGGGCTAATTTTTCAATATAGTTATTTTCTTTTTAGTTTCTGATCTATAAATCCAGCTAATTCAACTTTTCACGGATTTCGTCATACCTTCAGAAAATTCCTCAACACATTCCTCATAAAGTTGTCGGTATCTTAGCAATTCTAATCACCTAAAGAGTAGTAGCAAAAATAAAAAATATACGCTACTCTATTAATTTTTTGGTTTAGAATTCCTCAAAAAACTTTAGGAACTCAGCACTTTTGTGAAATTCCTTGAGAATCGAACTTACTCAAAAGGGTAGTTAAAAGTTGGTACCGATTCCTGCGGTTAAGCAAACAATTAGGCCGATTAAATAGTTTCATTAACATTCTGCTCCCACAAAATTCAACTACTTCGTCACTTTTTTTTATTAAACAGAAAAGCGTGTACTCTTATTCAGTCTTCTAATGGGCGTGAAAATCTGATCACTGAGTGGAAGTGCTACCGAGCAATTGGCTTAAGTATCTCGTTGGAGTCCTCAGAACTGTAAAGATAGCACCCGACTTAAGTTAATCAGCTCCGCTATCTTCTGGGCAAACATGCTAAGCCTCCAACAGTGATTTGCCTTTGGTCTCCTCCAAAAAGAAGCAGAAGTATAGAAAGGAGGAGAACGTAATGCCACTGCAGCACCACATGGTCGTAGAGATGCCCCAGACGGCCATACATATGGGGAATATTTTCAGGGTGAGGAAGACGGTGCTGCTCAGGATGACTACGAATGTGGAGACACTCACAGATCGGATCTGAAACAGAGCAAGGGTTATAACTTATAAAGTCGTTTGGCGGAGACACCCACTCACCTTGGCGGGGAACACCTCCACGAGGACCACAAACAGGCACCCCACCATGCCAATGTTGCACATGAAGACGTAGATCGACAAAATGGCCAGCGGCAGCCAGCCAACGACTGAAAGGTCATAAATCGGGGCATAATAGGTGAAGAAGCCGAACGCCAGGAGGCATACAGCAGCCCCGGAAGTGGAGGTCAGCATCAGGATCCGGCGTCCGTATTTGTCGCACAGCAGTGTGGTAACGTAGTTACCCACGATCTGCAGAACTCCAATGACAATGGTGCACATGCTCAGGTTGAGAGTGGTGTGCGAAGCAGCGAACACATCCGACAAGTAGGTGGTGATGCAAAAACTGGCACTAAACTGGTTGCAGATCAGCAGGACACCTGCCGAGCCAATGGCCTTGAGAGCAGGTCTGGTAACTAAAACGAGGATTAGAGGGTGGGATAATGACAGACTGAAGCGGGTAATGACTAACCAAAATCCTTGTAGCTAAGAGCCCTGCTGTTGGCCGACTGGTCCTTTGTCAGATGAAACATCAGGTCCTCAAACTCGCTTTCCGCCTTGATATCATCCTTCTGAATGCCCTTGTAGAACCGAAAAGATTCCTTGGCAGCCTCAAACTTTCCCTTGCGAATCAGATGATGGGGGGTTTCCGGAAAAAGGAAGTTACAGATAAAGTAGCACACGGGTAGTGCGATAATAAACGGCGGTGATGTAAAGTAATTCACACTCGTGGAGATGATGTATCCGACGAGTACGCCCGTGTTAACTGACAGCAAGATTATGGAGCCCAGTCGGCCGCGTACGCTGGAGGTGATTTACAATTAAGTGAGTATATACATTTTTGTCCAGTCATGCCCTCTCGGCACTGTACGTACTTAGTGTCCGCGATTTCGCTGATGAAGGTCGGAAGGACGACGTAACAGGCCCCTCCGGTCATTCCGGCCATTAGGCGACCTATGTAGAGGAACTCAACACTCTGCACAAAGTAGATGAGGGACCAAAAAGTCTGCAAGTGGTTCCGCAATTAACAATTAATCGTAGAATGGAATGCTCTGTCACTCAACGTACCATGTAGGGAATAGCAATGCCGAACATGACCAGCTTCCGGCCAATTCGATCCATTAAAGTGCCAGCCAACAGATTGCCAATCACACTGCCAATGCCCACTAGAGATCCTATCCAGGATACTTGCTCCACCAACAAAGGAAATTCCAAAGGTGATTGATCCGTTTGGAGATCCCTCATCACGGGAGACATCCATCCCACGCCCAAGCCATGCGAAAATGTTGCAATATTCACTACGAAGAAGAAAAATTATATCCAATCCAATTCAAATCTTTCGTTCAGATCTCACCTAACAAAGTGACCAGGAACTGATGTCGGTTCCTGCGACTCAGCAGGCAGTTGGGATGCTCGAAGAGCGCAGTCAGTTTCACCGTCATGTCTTCTATGGTATCTCCAGACTAACTAAATTTCTACCAGCGCCTGAGCTTCCCCCTAAATATACCGGTTATCTAAACCAGATAGCTAGCCCCCAGCTTCTTGTCAACATATGGCAATGCACTCGCAAAAAAAACTTTCGCTTTCCATTATAGATTTTAATAAAAAATGCTTTTGTTTTGCTTGGTCTTTTCTCTTTTTTTGTTTATTCGATTGCCATTCGATTAATCAAAAGACAGTCTTTCTACAAAGGCGATTCAAATACTCAGTAATTTGTCCAATTAGGAAACTTCTTTCAGGGTAGTGGGTTCCCATCGTGTAAACGCTAGCCTTTGGATCCATAACCAAGGCACTAGATTCTAGAGAAGAGCTTCAAAAAATATTTTCAAGTTTGTGGTGTAATTTTCAAAAATGTATTAACCTGGATGGAATTTGTCACAAGCTCAGGATTGTTTTGCACCCAATGTCAGAGTACCACATCCTGTACCAGTTTATTCTGTGGTGTTTAAATATGTAAATCCTACCACATTACCAAATACCCAGCTTGTGCCATTCCAAGAAAGTAAGTAACTTCAATATAATTATTTTTGTCAAATGTGAATACCATCAGAGATTTGTTTAGTTCCTGAACTTACCTCTAATTAAATGCTTATCTGTTTAAGATTCGAAGTAAGCTTTTTACTATATTTGGGTTTTATAAATTTATTTGGTCTGTAAAAAATAGATTATTTAAATCATTCCAGAATCTTTTTATGGATTAAGATACCAGATATTATGCAGTCATATGAAATTAGAGTATTAAACTATGAAATGAAACTATTAGAGTATTAAACAAAAAAATATTAAACTATGAATTTTTCCATTTTTTTTTAATGTTAACTATATAACCAAACAAATATTTAATTCTAAAGGAAAATTGGTCTTATTCATATTAATTTTCTTTTAGTCTTCAATCATGGACTTTCCTTTGGTTTCCTGAAGGAATAGCCAGAAATATAGAAACGTTAGCAGTCCGGCAGCACCTGAAAACCACATGGTATACGATATTCCCCAATAGTGCAACATCAGAGGAAATATCTTCAAAGTGCTGAAAACTAGAACACTCAAGAACAGAACCGATATGGAAGTGCCAACAGAACGAATCTAAAACACATCAATAGTTAACAAATATCTTTAAAAAAAGGGTGTAACTGAATTTTACCTTCGCTGGAAACAGTTCCACCAGCACGAGGAAGAAGATTCCAATCAGACCTATATTGGCCACATAGCAAATAAAAATCATTAAAACCAAAGGAACCCAGTTCAGGTCACTGAGATCATAGCTTTTGCCAATTAAGGTGAAACATCCAAAGGCAATGCATCCGATTCCCACTCCCAACGTCGAAATCAACATGAGGAGGCGTCTTCCTACGATGTCTACCAGGATTGTGGAGGTATAGACCCCAATTATTTGCACTACGCCTATGATAATGGTTCCCGTATTGACATCCACAATGGACCCGGAAGCCTTGAATATGTCGGACATGTAGTTGATGAAACTAAAGACTCCACTGAACTGGTAGCCTAGGCTGAGGACGACAGACGCCGCAAAAGCCTTCAGGGCTGGCTTCGTTACTAGAAAAACAATTTTTTATAAACAATTAAACAATAAAATGCGGCTTCTGCTCACTGAGATCTTTGTAACTGAGAGGTGTGGAGTTTTTTGTTTGCTGGGCCACCACAGCTGTGCGCAGCTCCTCGAACTTATCCTTGGAGGCTTCTTCGGAGATGGAGCTTCTGTGATTTCTGTAATATCTGAATGATTTTTCGGCCGCAACGACATTGCTTTGCTTTAGAAGGTAAGGCGCTGTTTCTGGCAATATTAAAGAGGCTATAAAGTAGGCCACGGGTAAGATAATGGCTAAGAAGGGAACGATGTGGAAGGCCAGATAAGTGCTCAGTATGTAGCCAGCTAGAATTCCGAGATCGACAGATAGCATCACCATGGAAGTTAGGGCACCCCGAATTCTATTGGGAGAGGGTTAAGAGTCAAAGTTACTCATTATAAACTTTTCAGAGTCATGGTCCACCTGCTATCGGCCAGTTCGCTGATGAAAATGGGCACTACCAAATAAGCAGCTCCTCCCGTAAACCCGCAAAGAAATCGGGCAGCATACAGAAAATACACATTTGAGGCGAAGTAAATTAAAATCCAAAGGCACTGTAGAATACATTATTCACTATTACTACACCTGTTATTGGTAAACAATACATACAGCGTAAGGACCTGCCAGCAAGTAAATGCAGAACTTCCGCCCAGTTCGTTCGATCAACAAAGCTATCGTCAAGTTGCCAAGCAAACTGCCCAGACCAAGCATGGAGCCCAGCCAAGATATTTCATCGATGTCCACGGGGAAATCCAGAGGGCTGTCCGAACGTGTTATTTTGGTCAAGGTCGGGGACAGCCATCCCACACCCACTCCGTGGCCGAAGGTGATAATGTTCACTGAATGGATAAATTGTTATCCAGCGTATAATCTCACAATTTTCACAACTCTTCTTACCGATCACCGTCGCCAAAAGCTGGTAACGCGTTTTGGACTGCACCAACGAGTTTTTTAGTATCCTCGACATTTTCGACCTCGACAGGTCCTCTATGTCAGCCAACCTTGGTTATTTCGCCACGAATGCAAAGGCCGTATTTATGGAATCCGACCAACAGCAAAAGCTCCGGAGTGATTTCCATCGTAAACTTTATATCTGCAATCTTAGAGATTGTTCTATTCCCTCAAATTGCCGTTTATTACTTTGTCTGCCAAGAAGTAATGTCGAAAATTACACTGTTGGGTTGTGAGAAAATATTTTTGCACACCTGTAAGCTCTATTTGGGCATACAACTTTTCCACCTAAAACTTGGTAAACAATATAAGATCTGATAATTTAATTAAATATTTAGTTAAGATATATCTCCAGCCGGCAAGATAAAATAGATTAAGTCCGTCTAAACGCTGGGGATAAAACGATCGTACTGAGGGTTCAGTGAACAACAAAAAAAGAGGCTTGTCTAGTGACGGTTCGTACCAAACTTGACAGATACCCTCAACAAATTTTATATGCACGTGCTATACGCCTCTTGTCACCTCAAACTTTAAATACATTACTCATGCCCAAAAGTAGACTCTCACTTATGTGTGTTGCATCACTTATGTATGTGTAGTCTTGCACAGCACAGTGCACTATAGGAAATTTGACCACTTTTTCTGTCCAAAAATAATATCTCAAGAACGAAACAAAATATTTAAGTTCTGATTTTTGATTTGAGTTCACATGGTCAATAGATTTAAAATTTAAAAAAAATGTGGGCGTGGCACCGCCCACTTTTTAAGAAACACATTCTAACTCAAAAACTATGCAAGATATTTAAATTTTGATTTTTGATTTGAGTTTATATGGTCAAAAGAACTCAGAAATGAAAAAATTGTGGGCGTGGCACCGCCCCCTATTTAAAAATAACATGCTAACTGTTCGGTTTTGCACTAGTCTCACAGCTAACAGATTCACATTCAAGGTGTTGAGGTTGCCTCCTTAAATTATGAATTTCTTCGAAAGTGCATAAAAGGGCATATTCATATTTCACTCATTTGAAGAAAATTAAACAATCTACAACATGGACTAAATTACATTGTCCGACTCGGCCAGACTTGGTTTAAATCTCTTTTTAAAAATGTGATTTTTTTCTAAAAATTTCTTTTGCTAGACTACTTTTATTTTCACTTTATTAAAAAGACAACACAAGTTTTTTGGACACTTCACATATACGAACACATAATACAAACCACTTTGAAAAGTATTCATTTCAAAACTTTTGATTTTGTCCATAAAATTTTCAGTATTCGCGTTTTTAAAATGGCACCAAAAAATCGTAAATTCTAAGCTCATGTAAATGTTAACATCAACAGCTGTTTTTAACAGCTGATTTCTTCGCAGTGGCGCCATCTTTGAAAATTTCTGGTATGCTATATTGAAAATTTCTTAAAAATTAATCTATTTTGAATGATATGCAGTTAAAATTATTTTAATCTTTTAACTTTCAAAAAATGGTTGTTGGCCAGAAAAAGTGGTCAAATTTCCTATAGTGCAGTGGTCCAGCCCGTAGGTCAAAAATAAAAAAACCAAAGTCCAAATTTTGACTTTAAATGTACCGATTCTTATTTATAATTGGTCTAGCTATTTGAATTTATTCATCTTTTTGTTTTAATCTGTCTGTCTGCTTCAAGAATAGCATCGAAAGTGATAGTATGATATTCATTGTGTATTGCAGCGTAAGCAACGTGCAAGTGAAGCTCTCCGCAAAAAATGTATTAAACATTTTTAAAACAAGTGTTTGTCCCATGGAAGTTATTAATATTTTAAAGAAAGGTATTAACTTTCTTTTTACAATAAAAAGTATATGTAGTATTTGTTGTGTTTTGTGTAAATCATTGTTGTATTTAGTACATAATTGTAAACGTTCTTAGTTTGTCTTTTATTTGTTTGGTTAGAGTTTTAGTTGTGATGGCACTCTTTGGCATTCACAAATCTTTTTGTATAATATTCTTACCAGCATGGTAAGCATTTTAAGAACATAAGAAAGTTTAGTTCAAGTGCCGTAAGGTGCCGTGCGGCTTGCAAAATACAAAAAGGTAACCTAACCTCAATTTGAAAAAACCGGATTAATATCGCAAGAATCAGATATAGTTCGCCGATCCTTATGAAAATATCATAATATAACCAATCTATTACAATAAAAAATCTAAAAAAAAGTCCCAAACTTCTATCTTCAAGAACACCGAAGTTGGCATTTCCACCAAAACCATTTCCGATCAAACATTTATATGGCAGCTATAGGATATAGTCGGCTGATCCTTATAAAATTTGGTAGGTCGTATTATTTTGTCAAATATAGCACTCGTACAAAAACTGAACTCTCTAACTGTAAAAACACCAAAGTTACAGCATTTTCGATCAATCAGTTATATGGCAGCTATATGATATAGTTGCCCGATCTGGCTGATTTTAATATATTATTTTAGAATAAAAATAATAAATATTTTGTGCCAAGTTTCCAGTCCCTACCTCAACTAGAAGTATTTTTGGCCGCTCCCTTCATACAAGCCGGACCACTGTGCTACGAGGTATTTCCCCATTTTGGCGGCTACTATAAAAAAACGATTCATAAAGTATTAATATAATTTGATTTATGAATACTATTTCATTATTTTTCGAATACAAAAAATGCCACGGCACACGAAGTGTAAATTACTATACTAGATGGATAAAACCCTTAATAGTGATTGCCGTTTTTTAAAGGGTTAAAGTTCACAACAAAATGTTCTTTATTTGAAAACGTATTATTTCAAAATATTGTATATTGCAGTAAAAAATACTATTATTTTATTGCAACTATTTTAATGGTCCGATTTTTGTTGTTTTCAAATTTGTTTGTTGTACCTTTCGCTGGCACTAACTGGCAAAAGAACGTTCAAAATTTTTGCTCATGATATAATCTGCATAAATATTGAACTTTTCGTCGAGGAACAAGTTCCAAACACGAGTAATGGGCCCATGTGTGATTTTTTAACGATGACAACCAATACCCGAAGTTTATCCATAGTCAAAACATCTGGCAAAACATCGATATGGACCGTATCGATGTTTTCGAGGTTTTTTCGGGAACCATCGATACTATCGCGATAATATCGAATTAAACAAATTTTGAAATATAGAGTTTATTCTTTATGGAAACCCCAAAACAGCCGGGGTATTCCTTATAAATTCGATTTTAATAAATTTAGAATTTTAGTTTTTTGGGTGTTATTTATTTTTTCATTTAATTCACTTGATTTGTCAAACTTAATATAAACTTAAACTTAATAAAAACAAGAAAGGAAAGCTAACTTTGGGCGGAGCCGAAGTTTATATACCCTTGCAGTTAAAACCGGTTATATATCGCGAACATCGGATATAGTTGGCCGATCCTTATGATTACATCATAATAAAACTAATTAACTAAAATAAAAAATCTAAAAAAAGTCCCAAACTTCTATCTTCAAAAATAAGAAAGTTGATATTTCTACCAAGTACCATTTCCGATCGTTCAGTTATATGGCAGCTATAGGATATAGTCGGCCGATCCTAATGAAATTTGGTAGGTTGGATCAGTGGATTAAGTTTCAGCTTTCTATCTTCAAAAACACGAAAGTTGGGTCATTTCCGATCGTCCAGTTATATGGCAGCTAAAGGATATAGTCGGCCGATCCTTATGAAATTTGGCATGTCGTAATGTTTTGCCAAAAATAGCTCTCGCGTCAAATTTGACTCTCTAACTCTAAAAACACCGAAGTTATACCATTTCCGATCAATCAGTTATATGGCAGCTATAGGATATAGTCGGCCGATCCCGGCCGTTCCGACTTATATACTGCGTGCAAGAAAGAAGGAAAGAAGGGTGTGTGCAAAGTTTCAAGACGATAGCTTCAAAACTGAGAGACTAGTTCGCGCAGAAACGGACAGACAGACGGACAGACGGACAGACGGACATGCTCATATCAACTCAGGAGGTGATCCTGATCAAGAATATATATACTTTATAGGGTCGGAGATGTCTCCTTCACTGCGTTGCACACTTTTGGACAAAATTATAATACCCTCTGCAAGGGTATAATAAAAAAAATATCCAAAAACAAAAAAACGTAGCTTCATTAGTAGCGGCCCAGCCGCTAGACTTGAGATCTATCTTATATATTAGATTCCGTAATCCACCAATTTTTATTGATGAACAGGAGCTGGTCAACTATGTTTGACTTTAGTGATGACCTGCGCTCGAAAATTATTTTGCCTGCTTTTGAAAACATCCTCTCAGACTCCGTTGAAGTTGCTGGGACACACAAAGCTTTTTTGGCCAACTTCGCCAAAGCTGGCTGGTCACTTTAATTGCTCTGTAAAACATAACATAATTTTTGAAAAGTAGAAAAATTAAGCAGAAAAATCGCTACTTACTCTCCAATACTCTAGTGCAGTGATCGGCATCCCAATACATTGATATGATTTTACCGCATTAGTGTTAGTAACGAATAGCAGAAAGTAGGCTGTGAGCATGACGTTTCACACATGTATACTGTGTGTGTGTGGCAGAGCTCGGGCAGAGAAATTTCCTATGCCCTCGAGATAGGGCCGTGCCGACCTCTGCTCTAGTGGATTGCTGGAAATATCAGAGTTTATTCCTTCGAAATAATGCCTCATAACTAATATTACGTCCACTTTATTGGTCCTTTTTTTTCTCTATGTTTGAGAACAGAAACTTAGGAAGTGGCTCTGCAGCGTTTGGTGTAACTGGTGGTTCTACAGCGGTTTCCTGAGGATCCCCTTCCTCAGCATCACCACCAGCAATCATGTTTGTCGATAAGGAGCGCTCTAGCAAAACGGCGGCTTGTTCAGCATTAAACGGTGATCGAAAGCCTTCTTTTTTATATCGTGGATCCATTATGGTGGCCAGTCTAGCTGTGGACCTTTCTTCAAAAGGAAAAATCCTTATCCGTGCTTTATCCTGCAAGAACCGGCAAGCTTGCTGTCCATTCACCGTCTTTAGCCTGCCAAACTGATCATTTAGGCCCTCAACCAGGCCATTCGTCAGAGGAACACTTAAGGAGCAAGTCACCTTTGAGCTGGACGAGCACTGT